CTATAAGATGATATAACTAAATTGACATAAATAATTTAACTAAAATGGATATTGGATAATCCGAATTTTCTCTATTTTTCTTAAATTTTTAAGATATTTTAGTTATTTTTATATGTTTCCTATATTTAAATTCTTCTTATTTTCACATATGGTAAAGTTGTCACATAAAGATACAAAATGATATAAAAACAAAAAGTTTTGATCGTTTACTAAGAGAGAAAAAACACTTTTTACGGATTTTTGGCTCAAATCTGTACTTAGGTTGGAAGCTTTTAAAAGCTAACATAATTGTAGTTTGTTTGGAAAATCTTATTTATTTGATATATTTTAAAACTGTTGTCCCATATTATTAATTTTACTTACATTTAAAAATTTCTTCAGGTCTTTGATTGTGTAAAAATTATAACTAAATTCATTGTTCTATATATATAATAACTTTGAGAGGCTGAAAAGAAGATATTTTCATACGCCGCAGTCCGCCAAACATATAGTCCCTGCTAGATTTCGAACTCAGCTTACCATTTCTGTTTTAAGTTGTACAATTGTGATGAGGAAAGAAAAATATGATCTTTTAAATCTCTTACATCTAAATATATAAAACATATAAGCAAATATAATTTATTTCATCTAATCAGAAACTAGACAAGACTCCCTCCTTAAAAGATCGGGGTTTTATTGGTAATTATATTTCAAGCAGTATTAGCGCAGAAAATTATGAAATATATTTTAGAACTTTAATAGTTTTACTCCATTGAACTACAAGTCGTAAAGGAAGGATAATTTATATTGTATGGACGTCGACGAATTGGTAAAAGCGCGTTTATTAAGCATAGAACCATTTGCACGACGCCCTCTGTTTTAATAAGCACAATGCATGTAAAGCTTAATTATTAGGTTGTACATTTGTAATGTGCAAGCTATACTATTAGCTTAATAGTAAAACTGTTGTAGATGTAAAAGCAAAATATGTCTATGTAGTTTGTGAACCTGCGTTTTTCACCTTTTAGAATGTGAAATATTCTTTGAATATTTGTTTCGTTGCAATTTTTTAAATTTTTTTACGGAGTTTAAGCATTTAAATTCCCATAAATTAGAGTCTCGGGCGCCATCTAGTGTTTATTCACATTTTGATCTTTTTTTGTACTGCATCATGCACATTCAGTTAATGACCACCGTTGGTTTCTGCATCGGAGATCATTCGTTTTGCAACAGATTATATTGATTTTGTAATTGAATCTAATGATTTTGTTTTATTAGTTAGTCTGTTTTATATTTCAGCATGTTTCTGTAATGTATTATTCGTTGTGCATTAACGTCTTTTTCTTTTACCCTTTCCGCCGCTAATACATAATGAGACTTTTAATCTTAAAACTTTGTTACAAACATGGTTTGGCAAGATTCAAGGACACTTCCTGAAACTTTTCAGTTTGCTTTTTGAAACTGCTTTCTAGGTCGTTGATAATTACATGTATCGGCAACACAAGAAAACATGATAAGCTTCTCATCACGTGAGTTACATTCCTACGATACTGATGTTATGTAATGAATTGACCTGTTTATGTAAGTATATATAAGATGAAAAACTTTAAACTCCATTCTTACTTAAAATTCGTGAGGAAAATTACACTGACCAAAGAGGTATTCTCTTTTGTACATGTATATGTTTATTCTATTCTTTGTTTTATATTAAAAATTAAGATATATACTAAATCCACGCAAGCGCGGGGAATTTAATTTTTACCACTGGTGACGGAACAATCAAAAAATATACTTGATAGTTTTTACTGATGGGTTAGTTACAGTCTTATAGCAAGAAGAAATAGTTTGTTCAAAATCCCACAGTTACTGTAGATGCAGAAGTAGATATAATTATGTCATTCCCGCCAACCCATCCTCTTTTTTTGACATTTTCTCTATAAATGTTAACAACTACATTTTTGATACCTATTGTATATAATATTGTACTTCGACACCGTTTCCACATTTCTTTTAAGGATAAAAGAAGCGAAAATGCACGTTTTACTGATAAATTTATTAGCATGTTTCTTTTAATTTTGCTTTCTAAGCTTTATTTATAATAAGCCTAATATTAAATACAAACGGTAAATACAGTATTCAGGGGGAAATACTGAAATGTATTAATTAAAGCACAAATTTTAAAAGCTTTAAAAAAAGTATGAATGCACTACTTTTACTTCATAAATTAGAACAACACCATATTAAATAATTCTCAGCAAGTTTATAACTGATACCGTTGCTACGATGCCCTCAGTAACAATATGCATATTTAACTGATAAATTTCATAGCACACCACCTACTACTGGTCTTTAGATACATAAATATGTTAACAGCTTATAGTGTTATCAATTGCTATTACATTATTGACATGGTCATTCACTTCAAATATTTTTTATTTATTCATGTAGCATGATTAATTGCCTTGTTTTTCTATAAATATAGGGAGTCAGACGTTCTAGAAATTTCCTTCAAAACCAAGATCAAGAACTGGCAAAAACGATTTGCACATTTTTTTTTTATCAGTCATCACGACTTATTTCTTCTGTATTACTTAAATCAAGTTGTAATGAATGATTTATGAATGACGATTTATCGGATAATTAAACGATTGCTTATTGTGATTTTCATTAAAATTGCAAGTAACCAGGACCCACCGTAACCACCACCACACTTTCTGTTTTGCTATTTCATAGCTGTTTATCGAAAACGAAAGTAAAGTTTTAATTAAATATACGATTGTAACTATTTGAGTGAAATCTAAATGTAGTTTACGGACCTTATATTATATCTAGTGTAATATCAGAGGAGCAGGTATGAACTCTGATTCTACAGTGGTTATAATTGATAAAGAGACGTTCATAGCGGAGGCCCATAGATAACTCTAAGACGAACGATTCTATGAGAAACTGGACTCTGATTCTACTAAAAAGTTTACCTCTATCACCAAAGCTCTTGACGAAATGTTGGAAAATGTCGAGATTTGTATCACTCAACCCTATTGACGATAGTCCAGGTCGCCCTATAGTTAGCAGAATTGGAAACCCAACGGAGAAAATTTCTGAATACATTGGTTTACATCTCGGTCTACAAGTATAGAATTTGCCATCCCTTATGAAGGACAATACGTACTATGTTAAAGGATATTGTAGTAAATTTGAAAAAAAAAGTTTTTAAAATTCACCCCCTGATGCTACAATAACCAGACTGGACAACCCATTACCTAACGGGGACTTTTAAAACTTGTTCTGAAAGATGTCTTCTCTGTCAGCACAGTTCAATTCTGACAAAGACATCTTCAACAGTTCCGTTACAGGCCTCAGCTACATAGTACTAGTAAGGAATTTGTACTGTCAAACAGACAATATTGCATATATTTAATCAACTGTAAGGTTTGTTCCAAACAGCATGTTGCGGAAACGGAAGATCTCCTCAGGTGAATCAATAATCGCCTTTCGACCATTAAGACGAAAAAACTCAATGAACCAGTTGGGGAATATTTCAAAGTTTATGGGGGTCCTTCGGATGAGACCTTAAAAACCGAGGTCCCGTGTCACGGCAGGCGTTGGCACGATAAAGATCCCTCACTGCTCAATGGCCGTAAGTGCCGAGTAAAGGTCAAAATTTGAAGCCCTTCACCGGTATATGGTTACGTCTCTATATGAGTGAAAAAATCTTGAATGGGACGTAAAACAATATACAATCAATCAATCAATCAATCAAAGTTTAAGGTCTCAAATGGGAGGACATGAGAGTAGTGGCATTGAACATAATCAAAAATGTACCAATGCTCAGAAAAAAAAAGCAGAGAAAAATTCTGGATGTACATAATAAAGTCATTCCGCACTAAAGGTAAAAAATAACAAAATGAATAACTTCACCAGGATGATCTTGAACAAGGCCATATTGTTTGATAATACCTAGCAAATCTATTCTGTTCATGTAGCTTTTAATAACCAATTAATTCAAATCATTATTTTCATAACACCATTTCTGATTATCTCCTTTTTACTGCTACATGTATCACTATCTTTTTGTTACATGTATCACTATCTTTTTTAACACTGCTTCTTATGAATACTATATTCAAAAATATTTTGAAAATAATTAATCAAAATTTAATTCTGTTATACACGCACAATTTCCTTTATTACTGTGTTATTTGTTTCATAGACACAAAACAATTTTATAATTTTGAGAACTTCCAATTCTAATTTATTTTTATATGCCAATTTCAAATCAATATTAAGAACTGGTTTGATGTGAATAATGATCAATTCACAAATTGGCCTGACGTTGTAAAATTAAGTTATGGTTATTAGTTTCACGATCATAATCATTTTTTATTCATTGACCTTATGCATTGGCATTTATTAATCTATTTAGAACATAATGCAAAATTATCAAAGAATAGAAGAGCTTTGACCAATGCATAAAATTATTATGAACAGGAAATGCAATAGAAGAGATCGCCATCGATTACAGTCACATTACCACTGTCCATCCTTTGCACATTTCTCTTTTACATAAAAATAAAGATGGTGCAAAAAAGGAAAACTGGATTTCACGAACAGGATACTGAATGTTCATTAAGCATAATAAATTGTAAAATTGTCATAAGATAAAGATGCATGATTTTGAACTGACTGTTTTTGCTCTGGTCAGAATAAATTATGACCATGGCATGACTTCTCCTTGATCTAATGAATCAACTAAAAGTTTTAATTGTGTTTTAAGATATTGGGTAAATTAAAACTATTTTTTTAATGATTCTATCTTATATTCGGTTAATATAACGGATTTTTATAACATATTTCGAACGAGAAAGTCAAGTTATGAGTGTAAGGAACCTATCTTTTTAAGAATGGTTGTGTACAAAAAAATTGAAAATTGTTAAACACATGCATTTTGAAAACTGATCGATGTGAATGAGTGAAATCACTGTTATTTCTCACTTTCCCACAGATCAACGTGAAAGATCAAAATGGCCTGTGGAGGCAATTCCAAGTTCTTCATAGTTGGTAACGTATTCCTTCTTCTGGTCCCTATATTGGATTTAATAGGTGTGGCTACACCATTTTGGATCTATGGTGAGAAGAGTGGACAGAAAATCTCTTTAGGTCTGTGGACAGTTTGTGTTTCTGAAAATATATCAGGCAGCGAAGTTTCCGGATGCGTTGAATATAAGGATATTCTAGGTACGAATAAAAAAAACCTGGTTGATATAAAGCCAATTCTTAATATAATTTAGTTTAAGATCAATAATCATAAGCGTGCAATTAAGCAAAGAATTAAACAATGTAAGAAGAAAATAAGCTTAGGTGCGTTTTAAAGGTAAATTTTATCAATGTATGCGCTTTAAAACAATAAAACTCAAATTCTTAAATTTGATAAAAGATTTTATCATTTAAAAATTTCTTTGCTTTAGATTGTATCAAAGTAGTTCGAGGATTTGGACTGCTTGGGATTATCATTTCAGCCATTGCTTTTATTTTTGCCCTCCTCAAAATTTGTTTCAAGGACAGTCTCTTCGTATTGATCATTGCTATCATCTTGTCTTTTATATCTGGTATGTATATTTGTCAGTTAAGGCAGACAACTAAACTCCTTGAATTATACTGTAGATCTTCAGACCCAAAATAAAGTTTCATTTGAAAAGATGTTGCTGTTAGTAATAAATATTGCAATCTTTAAATTAAACAAGCTACACTGACTCTATTGCAGATCATTTATGAATTAAGGGGTGCCAATTTTTTGTAAAGGTCAACATGAAAAGCTACTTAATAATTTAAACTTTATTTTTGATTGTATTACTGAAATATTTGCATTCAATTTTGTTAGTAGAATAATTTTCAGTCTGGGAACTTTTTTAAAGATATGTGATATAAAACTTTATATAAAATTTTATTGCAGCTGTGTGCACCGTTGTGTCTATAGCAGTTTTTGCAGAAAACTACGATGACTTGCTAAAGGACAGCAGCTTTGTCCACTTCAGCTTTTCATTTGCTTTATGTGCAGTTTCCATCGTTCTCTCGGCTATTGCTGGGATTTGTATGATCATTGAAATAGCAAAGAGGTCTTCGTACACAACCATCGATGGACGCTAAGAAATTGTTGTTCATTCAAGTCTTCCATAGTCGAAATAATCTTTGAAGCTTTCTTTTTAGGGGGGTGTCAAAAATATCACGTGGTCGTTGAATAGAATTATGTACGTACATATATAGAACAGATATAATAGAAATTTAGGTATCTGTTTAATGAAAAGAATCAAGTATCAGGAGTGAATATATATTTCTTAACCTTTATCTAGAGGAAAGATTTCTAGAAAATTCCAAAACACATCCTTAACCTTTTCATAAGCATCAGAATCTAAAAGCGACTCATAATACATGTGTAATGTAAAATAATGTAACAAAATAAAAATGCGAATAATCCAACTTGAAATTATGATTTAACGTTAAACTCCAAAGCTACGTTGGAACTTAAACACAGTAGCTTTTGTCTATGTATAAAAAAGGATGTATTAGGAATTTTAAAAGAATAGAACTATAATAAGACAGAACAATTTCGCAGAAAAAGTAGGATTATATATATATATATATATATATATATATATATATATATATATATATATATATATATATATATATATATATATATATATATATATATATATATATATATGATTAAATTTAAAATAGCTTGTCTTGTTTTTAAGTGTCTTAATGACAATGACAGTCCCATGTATCTGCAGGAAATGCTTAGCATTAGAACTTCCACTTACAAGATTCGCTCCATTGATAATTTGGCTAAAACTCTCACCGTCCCAATCGCAAAACGCAAAACATTTTCTTCAAGATCCTTCGCCATTTCAGGACCTTCCGTGCGGAACGAGGTACCTCCTAACATACGAACCATCAGCGATTTTAACGTTTTTAAGAGACATTTAAAAGCTTTTTATTTTAGAAGTACATTCAATTGACGTTTTAATTATAGGTTAATCCCAGATGCAATGAATAGTAACAAATATTAATTTTACACATTTATTGTGAAACAATGATAAATTTTGTGGCGACTATTTGTCACAATCTATTTATACATAGATGTAAATACCCCGGCGGAACCCAGGGAAGCACTACCTGCCTACTGGGATGACCTCCCTAGATCCTTGGCGCGATAGCGCCCCCACAGGTGACTGTGGTGGGAACAGACCTCTTGGTACCAACAAGAGTGAGTGCCACATCAAATGAATGAATTCAAGTTCTGACTCGGGCCCCAACTCTATACCTGCCTCCCCTGGAATACAACAACATGGGGATAATACCCCCAGGGGTAGGCCCCAAAACTTGCCTTTGGTACCCACAAAGATCAAGCTGGTCCCTCAGGTACCGCTGAGGTAACCCCAAATTAATCCTCCCCAGTACTGAGGATAGATTACCCAGAGTTTTGAGCCAGACATGAGAGAATTCCTCATTCGTGGTAATCCCCGAATTCCGCCGCCCCCATCCAAGATTGTGACTTAAGAAACTTTACCATAATCCCAAAGCTAGAAAATTCTCAATATATATTTACAAGCTATACTTGCTTACAATACTTATTAAAAGTATCACTGTACAGTAACACTGTACGTAAACACATAATCATCAATGATCACCAATTTCACTGAAGTACTGATTATGTATCACACCATAGAAATGTCCAATAAAACTCAGGATTGAATCATTTACATTGATTTCAACAGAAAATGCCCAATTGACACCATATACATAATGACTACATCCTTTCTTTGCTAATGATTCCAACCGCTAGGGTGTTCCACATACACATCTCTTTCCATGTAAGAATAGGCTTCTGTCACTGAAATTATAGAAGAGAAAGCAGAAAAAATCTGTAAACATATTTTAGGGGAGGGTGGGTGGGTGAAATTTTGCAATATGTCTGCCCTTCTAGCTTTTTCGGTAGACTATGAAAATCGGGGTCATAAGGTGCTTGATTATATTGCGTCCTCTATTTAAAACTCATGGTCTCAATAATGTTTAACCACTACCAAGAACGCACAAGTTATCGCACTGGTATTAAAAGCATTTATCACAATATGGTGATAAATGCAATTAACTATAGAACTTTGTTTTATTTTCAGTTAAAATAGTTTTTATATTTATTTTATTTAGTTGTTTAACTTTGTTTAGGTCATTTTAATTACATGTACATATACAGCGCCATTGGTTGCATTTTATTTGTAAAATTGCGCGCTTTATAAATGTTAATAATAATAATAATAATAAATAAAAAGTCACTTTTCAAAATCCGATGTTCATTTGTTATTTCCTACCGAATATCTGTCTATATTTTTAGATCTCCGGTGTCACTCGCGTAACCTATTGCTATCTGTTTTCGTCCGTCGTCGTTGGACGTGCATTGTGCGTCATCCGTTTATATTTTATTAAACAATTCAACTTCTTTTCTGAAACAGCTGAACTAAATTCAACCAATTTTGACATGGAACATCTATGAGTGAAGAGGAAAAAAATATGAATTTTGTGGTCTCAGCCCTCTGGGGCCTTGGGGTGGGACTAAAACCATCAAAATTAGTGCTGTCTTTAAAAATCTTCCTTACTCCTGGTCACCAAGCAGTCAAACTACTGGCATGGTTGTAATGGGCTTTGAGCCCTCTACTAATATTGTAAAAATTCATAATCCCAGGTCAGGTGATTTTCGAGTTATTGTGGGTCTCTAACGATAATATACTGAAAATACATAAACTCTTTTGAAATCATCTTTTCTCCCCTGCATATGAAGCAGATAAACTAGGTGCATGATTATGATGATCAATAATGCCTCTTCCAAAATTGTGAAATTTGTGGACCCTGTGTCAGGAGTTCTGCATGAGGGGGGATCTATTGATTAGATAGTGAATGTGCATTATTTCTTTGACAATGTACTTCTCTTCTACTGGGTATTAAGCAAACAAACCAGAATAAAGTTATGAGGAGCAAGGATGATTCTTCCAAAACTGTGAATTTTTTTGCCCCGGGGTCAGTTGTTCTGAAGGAAGGGAGGGGGGGGGGCTTATTAATTATATAGTGACATTGCACTAATTCTGTGAAAATTTTCTTCTCTGCTCCTAGATATTTAGCAGATAAACTAAGTGCATGACTATAATGATCAAGAGTGACTCTTCCAAAATTGAGAAAGTTGTGGCCCCAGGGTCAGATGTTCAGGTTGGGGGGAGGGGGGTCTGTTGAACATATAGTAAAAATGCATTACTTCTTTGAAAATCTTCTCGTCTCTTGGGTATTTTGCTACTAAGTATTAAAAAACAAACCAAGTACATAGTAATGATGAGCAAGGGTTCCTCTTCAGAAATTGTAAATTTCATTGTCTCGAGCTCTGTATGCATATGCTGTATATACATATACATGTATGTAAAATTGAAATAGCATAAGGGCCTTGTAACCACTATAATCCTAGAAAGCAGGAATAATTTCACCATATGATTGTAAATATTTAATATTTTTGCACCTACGACATTATATAAATACACCAACCACTCACTCCATGCCCTTCATACACAAAAAATGACTTTTGAAATATATTAAAATTAAAAGTACATGTATGATTCCAAGATCCACTGGCATCATTTAAATAATTGCGAAAAATACAATTAACGTGAAAAAAATAGGCCTTCTATTCAAATAAAATTATTATTTTTGCAAAGTTTAAAGATCACGCGAAATCTTTCTACCAAATCTTTCAAAATCCTTTAATGAGTATTATAACATCCGAAGCGAATTCTGACTTCGACTCAGCGTATTAAATATTTTTCAAAGCTTCCTCGCTATCAGATTTTGGCTTGAAATAGGTTTGGGAGGATGTTTGTTTTCCATAAAACACACTATTATTTTCGTCCTTTAAAAGTGTACATCGAGTTCCTCAACATACATGTAATTATGTACGATGCATTCAGAAATTTATCTTAAAAAGAAGACTCCCTGTTTGTAGACATACATGGTTTTGTCTCATTCCTTTCATACCTTGAATATCATTTAATACCTGTAAGTTCGAGTTTCAATTGGAAATAAAAATTTTATCAATTATGATGTTTTCCTCCCCCAGATTTATATTTTTCACGAGAATGCAAACAAGGGGAGAGGTATTCATACTTTAGATGCCAGTAATAGGAACAAGTTTTTACAAGATTGTAGCCTAATTTTCAAACAGGTAATGCCCTAATTGAAAGATTTACATGAGCGAAATTTAGCATCAAATAATATCTGTGTTTTAAATATATTGACTACACAGTTTATATATAATTTCATTTGCCCATGCAAATTTGTCAGTTATACATAAAACATATAAACACTATATACAATCGATAATAACGCAAAGTAAACTTTTATTAATTGGGTGAAAAATTTTGAATATATTTATCCTATTTCTTTCGCTGCTGATAAGAAGCATAGGGAGTTAAAAATACATGTATTATCTTTTTATTTCATATAAGTTCATAGCATTACAAATATCTTTTTTCAGTGATTTTCCAAATGCATCTGATTTACAGATTGTTTTGAATCGTGTTTGCAGCTTCCGCGGTAAGGCAATCATTTTATGAAATTAAATGTGCAGATAACGTTAATCAAGCTCAAAAATCCACTGAAACAATGCACAATGGGAGCCTCTAAAACATCAGAAGTGGGATCAGGTGTCATATAGGAGTAAGAATCAACTGTCGATCGCTCCCAACCGCTATGTGCTCCTTGTCAAGATCTGGCAAATTGAAAATCAGTAGACAAGTCAGTGTAAAAATAATGACCTTATTTTGTATGTAAAACATCAGTTAACATTTGACTGAACGATAGATTATATTTGCTAAATATAGGTCATTGTATCGACCATACAATTAACGAAATATTGACTTTAAACGATGTTGTTTATATCCTTGTTTCATCAACTTATTTGTCAATAGTTTGCAATTGTTTATGCGTATCGATTCAACTGGGATGCATAAAATACATATACATGTACATGTAATAATGGTATATACATGAATAAGGGAAGTTGACGATAGATAAGTTGAAGTCATCATGTTTATAAGAAAGATTTGTTGTTAT